GTGTGTGTGTGTGTGTGTGTGTGTGTGTGTGTGTGTGTGTGTGTGTGTGTGTGTGTGTTTTCAGGGAGTCTGAAGTCCAGCAGCCCGAATCCCAACTCTGACATTCGTTTGCTGAGAGACTTAGAGGAGTGTATTGCCCACCCTTTACCTCTGTTGACCGCTCTCTAAAATGGGGACAGTGAACACCCTGGCCTCACCAGGTGGTTGTGAGACTTCAATGAACACACGCCTGGAAGTGAATAGCACGGCCCTGGCAGGTTGTTAGTGTCCTTACTTTGTGCAATAAAGGAAGGACGAAGCCCTCCAACACCGAAGCGGCCCCATTCGCGCTGGTCGCCGCGAATATCAGTTTCACGTGGGAACCCCGCCCGCCTAGGTTCTCCTCACAAATGCCCCTCCTAAACGCGCGCCCTTCTCGCCCCGCTCCGGCTCGCGGCTTCGTCCCACCCCTGCTTCTACCCTTTCCACCGCGGGCCGGAGGCGCACAGCCCACCCAGCCCTGGGGGCGGAGAGTCCCTGTCCCTTCCACCATCGCCAAAGAAACCCCTTTGCCAGCCAACTAGGGTGGGTAGGGAGGGTGCGCTTGGAGGGAGGGAGAGAAGCAGCTCCTAAGGCAGGCGAGTGGCGGCCCCACCCCTGACACTAACTGATGCGCACGCTGGTGGCAGGCGGGGCTCGGGAGGTAGCGAGCGCCCTGTGTGTGTGTGTGGGGGGGGTGTGTCCCCTGACCGCCCTTTCTTCCCTTCCCCGGGATCACTCCGCCGCCTCCCTCACCCGGGCATGGCTGTCGCAGCAGCTGGACAACGGTGACATTGGTGAGGACGATGTCGCGTTTCGACATGGCCTCTTAAGGTATCACGGCCTAGCCGCCCCGGGACCGGCCGCGATGTTACTGAGGTGGGGCGCCAGGGCTAGTGGGTCTGGAGCTTCTTGTCGTGACGTCACACTGCCCGGTGACGTCACAGAGGAGGCGGTGCGAAGGCTGGAGACCCGCGGCCACAGCCGCCCCATCCCAGTGGAGGAGTTTGGCGACAGCACGCTGTGCACCACCGTTCCACCACCTACTGGTGTCTGGAATGGAATCCAACTTTTTACACTGGTTCTCAAAGCCCTTTTCTTTCGTCTCTCTCTCTCTCCTTTGGCTCTGGCTCCGTGCTGTTCCTTGACTTCTCTGGATAGTTACTGTTTCCTCATGTCTGGAAAGCCACACCCAGGCCTCCCTTGGCTGTCTCTGGTTTGCGTCAGGTGATACCCTTTAAAAGAAGCCCTTCTGAACTCCCCGTCTAGTTTCCTGCTTTCTCACTGTCTGCCGTCACTCCCAGCCCCTCAGTCTCTGCCCACCTTCTAGGAAGTCTTGTCTGATTTCCGCATCCTGAGTTGCATGTTGCAATGTGCAAAACTACTCTAGGGCTACACTCTCTCTGCTTTTATTTCCCTCATAGCATATGTCTCTCTAAAAAATCATCTTATTTGTATTTTTTGCCAATTGTTTCTGCCCGCTAGACTGTAAACTCTGGGAGGGCAGGGACCTTGTCTATCATTGTCACTTCTGTATCCCCATTGACTAGAAGAGTGTTTGGCGCTTAGAAAATGTTTGTTCGATAAATAATATCTAAATGAATAAATGAATGTCTCCTTGTCAGGTTTCTTCTGATCCACAGTCTTAAAGTAACCTCCAAGTCATATCCTCTCATAGCACCCTGTTCTTTTCCTTGCAGCTTTTCATGTAGTTTGTCATGAAAACCCCATCTAGTTATTGGTTTACTTGTTTGATGTCTTCCCCACTGGGTTCTAAGCCCCCACAGGGCATGTATTCTTGTCTGTTTTGTTCACCACTGTGGCTCCAGCACCTAGAACAGTGCCTGGCACAAAGCGGACTTTCAATAAATGGAGAACAAATGGACAAATGGCTCCCTCCCCTAAAGCACTGGGAGTGGGGGCTTGCTTGCACATTAGTGACTCACTGGCAGGCACCTTTACCTGCACGGCTGGTTGACACGCAGCTGTGACCAAGATTTAGGAGGTGTGGGGGGTTGCAACAGGAAGGAGTCACCACCCCAGAGAGAGGAGTGGAAGGAAGAAGGGGCAGAATGACATAACCTCTTCCTTCCCCAAATCTCCACGGGAACTCGGTTTGCCAAGCACCTGCCATGGGATGGGGGGAGGGTGAGGCTCTCCTGCTTGGAAGGCTTGGGAGAGGTGGAACTGAAAGTCAATTGAGTGTACAAATGAGAAGATTTCAATGAACCAAGACCCAAAAACATGATAAATTAAACAAGGGGAACAAACTTTTAACATGTACAATCAAGGAGGAAAAATAACATAGCACAAACAAAAGCAGGATTGAAAAGGGATCTATTTTGTGCAATTTTACAATAATGGATTTGAAAATCTACATGCAACTAAACTTTTTCTTAAAAAATGTAAATAATCAAAACTGGTGCAAGAAGAAATGACAACCCTGACTAGGCCAATAACAAGGAAGAAACAGAAAGACTTAAGATATATCCTCCCCAAAGCTGATTCAAATCCAGACAATTTATGGGCAAGATCTGCCAAAGCATTTGGGAACAAATATTTCCAGGAAGGAAGGAAGGAGGGAAGGAAGGAAGGAGGGGAGAAAGGAAAGAAGGAAGGACAATCATATGTTGAACTTTCAGAAGGAGAGAACAAATAAGGATATTAGAGATGGGGGGAGGGAGGAAGGGGAGTTGGGGAGTGATAGGTCGGGTAAGGGGCATAAAGAAATGTTACGATTTGTAATAATGAATATGCTAATAAAAAGTATTTTCCTTTCTATATTAATTGTTGCAGATCCTTACCAGAGCTGGAAGCTCAGTTAGAATCTGGGTAGGGCGCTTGGTCTGAAACTCTTTGGATGGGCAAGCACACTGTGTGGACTTACACTGCATAGGTCTTTGGAATGCTTTTCGGGGAGGGCTGTGATGGCTCAGCTATGAAACTTCATTGATTCACTCGAGGAAAGCAGCACAACCATGTTTCCAAAACCAGCAGAGGATGGTCTAAGAAAGGACAACTATAGGCCAATCTTAGTTATGGAGACTGACACCCAAGTTCTGAATCAAATAGTCACAAATGGGAATGGAGAGATGAGGAAAGGGATTGAGGCTGGCAGAAGATGGAAGGATGGGGCACAGAGAGGGCAGAAAAGAAAAGGTGGAGTACGTTTCAAAAGGAGAACCCTGCCTCGCAATCTCAGGGTGGGCTGAGATTCTGAAGCTCATCACCCACCCTTTCCCACCCAACAGTCTCCTGGCATGGGAAACTCTATCATTTAGGACAAGGGCAGAAAAGCCACACCTGAGGTTGCCCAGGGATTTGGCTTTGTCCCTGGAGCATGAAACTGGGAAACAGATTTGATGAGCTCAAGCTTGTAGAGGTGGCACAATTAGTCACCCTCTACAGGCAGAGCCTAGAGAAGGCAGAAGCTCCTGGGTCTCTGGCCTGGTTCTGGGTGGGGTCAAGTGTCCAGGACCTGGGGTAGAACCCTGGGTCCTCTGAGGGGAGTGGGCCTTGACACCCTTGTTTGAGCAAAGTCTGAAAACACGTGCAGATTCTCACCACACCTGGTCACCCACACACATAACTCTGCCACCCCCACTCACTCACACCCTGTACATTCCTTCCTGCCTGCCTTCCCACCAGCAGTCCCACCTCCACTCCCACTCTCAATCTCTTCCCTTGTCACCAAAACCCAAATATCTTTCACCCCTGCACCCAACTGTACCCACCCACCGGCTTGAATCTTCTGGTCTCAGCCACCCTTCAAACTAGCTCCCAGATAGATATGCTGCTGCAGACCTACCAATGCCTGTCATTCTTATGCCCCTCTTCACATTTTAGGCCAGACTCTCAGCTATTTCTCCCTCCAGTCTGAGCCAGTATGTCAAACTTGGGGCTTCAGGTGGAACTTAGGAGGCCCCAGGGGGAGGGGAGCAGGAAGGATGAGCTTCTGGCCCCCAGCCGAGGTTTTGGATGACAGTCTCCTGCTGCCTCCGGTCTTTGGCCCCTCCCCGTGGCTGCCTCAACCGGCTTTTCAGGAGACACTGCGTCCTGTCCCAGCTCATAGCAATCAGCCCCCTGCCCTTGCCCAAGGGCTGGGAGGCAGGAAACCTGGGTTCTGTAATGAGAATGTGATCCTGGCTCCAAAATCGGCAGCCCTCCCCAAGGGACCCTATGCTGCTCTGGGGACCCAAGCACCCTTCCCTCCAGCACCCTATGAGAGTCAGGCTCAGGCTTGGACTCTCTTCCCCTGGCTTCTTCTAATCCACCAATTTGTTCAATCTGTAAATATTTACAGAGCCCCAGGCAATGTTCTAGAAGCTGAGGTAAACAGTGACCAACATAGACAAAGGCCCTGTTCTTTGGAAGTTTACGATCTGATAGATGAGACAGACAATAAAAAATAAAGGTAATTCGGGATCACAGTAAGTGCTATAAAAACAAAAGGATGCTATTACAGAGTATAACTGTAATACCATGTTATGGTTGGGGTGGTCAGGGAAGGGTTTTTTGAGAAGTTGGCATTTGAGCCAAGTACAGAGTGAGGATTCTGTCCTGCAAGTATAGAGTGGGTTCTGCATTCCAGGTAGAGAGAAGGGCAGGTGCAAAGGCCATGAGGCAGGAATGGGCTCGGTGTGTTTGAAGAATGGTGAGAAGGCCTGTGTGGCTGGAGCATAGTAAGCAAGGGGGGTGGTCCACAAGAACAAGGTTGAAGACCCCCTCAGCTCCCCTAGAGTTCTCCCCTCCTCCCAACTGTGCCTCCCATCTTTCTAGACTCTCACTGCAGAGGAAGCTGGATGCTTAGATTCCTGAGAGAAGTGAGGAGTGAGTCCCAGGGATGGAGGGTGATTGAAGGTGGGTTTAAGACAGAGGAGGCCTGGGTAGTGGGTAAGGAATGAGACAGGAGGTGGTTGGAAGGGCAGACACCCATCTCTGGGATGGAGGGCCTGAGCTGGGCAAGGAGCGAAGATGCCAGGGTTTTTCTCCATTTATGACTCACGTTCTCTTCCTCCTCCTCTTCATTGCTCAACCCCAAATCTCCCTGGGAAATACCTCCTTGACTAGGGACCAAGTCAGTGCCTCACAGGGGTAATTGAGTCATGGGGGGTGGAGAAGAGGGCGGGAGGGAGAGGATAAATAGCAGCCTTGCTTCCCTGGCTCCTCTCTGCATCCTCCCCACCTTCCCAACAATATGCATCTTGCCAGTTTGGTCAGCTCTTGCTCCCTCCTACTGCTGTTGGGGGCCCTGCCTGGATGGGCAGCCAGCGATGACCCCATTGAGAAGGTCATTGAAGGGATCAACCAAGGGCTGAGCAAAGCAGAGAGAGAGGTGGGCAAGGCCCTGGAAGGCATCAATAATGGAATCACTCAAGCTGGAAGGGAAGTGGAGAAAGTTTTTAATGGACTTAGCAGCATGGCCGGCAAGGAGTTGGACAAGGGCGTCCACGGGCTCAACAACGGCTTGGACAAGGTAGCCTATGGGATCAACAATGGTGCTGAACAAGCAGGAAAGGAAGCAGAGAAGTTTATCCATGGGGCCAACAACGCTGCTGGACAGGTTGGGAAGGAGGCAGACAAAGTGATCCATCATGGGGTCAACCAGGCAGGAAATGAAGCAGGAAGGTTTGGCCAGGGGATCCACCATGCCGCAGGGCAGGCTGGGAATGAGGCTGGGAGGTTTGGCCAGGGAGCCCATCATGGGGTCAATGAGGCCTGGAAGGAGGCAGAGAAGTTTGGTCAGGGGGTCCACCATGCTGCTGGTCAGGCTGGGAAAGAGGGAGACAAAGTGATTCAAGGGGTCCATCATGGGATTAATCAGGCTGGAAAGGAGGTAGACAAGTTTGGTCAGGCGGTCCACCATGCTGCTGGTCAGGCTGGGAAGGAGGTAGACAAGTTTGGCCAGGGCGTCCACCATGCTGCTGGTCAGGCTGGGAAAGAGGGAGACAAAGTGATTCAAGGGGTCCATCATGGGGTTAATCAGGCTGGAAAGGAGGTAGACAAGTTTGGTCAGGCGGTCCACCATGCTGCTGGTCAGGCTGGGAAGGAGGTAGACAAGTTTGGCCAGGGCGTCCACCATGCTGCTGGTCAGGCTGGGAAAGAGGGAGACAAAGTGATTCAAGGGGTCCATCATGGGGTTAATCAGGCTGGAAAGGAGGTAGACAAGTTTGGTCAGGCGGTCCACCATGCTGCTGGTCAGGCTGGGAAGGAGGTAGACAAGTTTGGCCAGGCAGTCCACCATGCTGCTGGTCAGGCTGGGAAAGAGGGAGACAAAGTGATTCAAGGGGTCCATCATGGGGTTAATCAGGCTGGAAAGGAGGTAGACAAGTTTGGTCAGGCGGTCCACCATGCTGCTGGTCAGGCTGGGAAGGAGGTAGACAAGTTTGGCCAGGCAGTCCACCATGCTGCTGGTCAGGCTGGGAAAGAGGTAGACAAGTTTGGTCAGGGGATCCACCATGCCTTGGGGCAGGCTGGGAATGAGGCTGGGAGGTTTGGCCAAGGGGCCCACCATGGGGTTAATGAGGCCTGGAAGGAGGCAGAGAAGTTTGGTCAGGGGGTCCACCATGCTGCTGGTCAGGCTGGGAAAGAAGGGGACACAGTAGTCCAAGGGGTCTATCATGGAGTTAACCAGGCTGGGAAGGAATTGGAGCAGTTTGGCCAGGGGGCCCACCATGGGGTTAACGAGGCCTGGAAAGAGGCAGAGAAGTTTGGTCAGGGGGTCCACTATGCTGCTGGTCAGGCTGGGAAAGAGGGAGACAAAGTGATTCAAGGGGTCCATCATGGAGTTAACCAGGCTGGGAAGGAATTGGAGCAGTTTGGCCAGGGGGCCCACCATGGGGTTAACGAGGCCTGGAAAGAGGCAGAGAAGTTTGGTCAGGGGGTCCACTATGCTGCTGGTCAGGCTGGGAAAGAGGGAGACAAAGTGATTCAAGGGGTCCATCATGGAGTTAACCAGGCTGGGAAGGAATTGGAGCAGTTTGGCCAGGGGGCCCACCATGGGGTTAACGAGGCCTGGAAAGAGGCAGAGAAGTTTGGTCAGGGGGTCCACTATGCTGCTGGTCAGGCTGGGAAAGAGGGAGACAAAGTGATTCAAGGGGTCCATCATGGAGTTAACCAGGCTGGGAAGGAATTGGAGCAGTTTGGCCAGGGGGCCCACCATGGGGTTAACGAGGCCTGGAAAGAGGCAGAGAAGTTTGGTCAGGGGGTCCACTATGCTGCTGGTCAGGCTGGGAAAGAGGGAGACAAAGTGATTCAAGGGGTCCATCATGGAGTTAACCAGGCTGGGAAGGAATTGGAGCAGTTTGGCCAGGGGGCCCACCATGGGGTTAACGAGGCCTGGAAAGAGGCAGAGAAGTTTGGTCAGGGGGTCCACTATGCTGCTGGTCAGGCTGGGAAAGAGGGAGACAAAGTGATTCAAGGGGTCCATCATGGAGTTAACCAGGCTGGGAAGGAATTGGAGCAGTTTGGCCAGGGGGCCCACCATGGGGTTAACGAGGCCTGGAAAGAGGCAGAGAAGTTTGGTCAGGGGGTCCACTATGCTGCTGGTCAGGCTGGGAAAGAGGGAGACAAAGTGATTCAAGGGGTCCATCATGGAGTTAATCAGGCTGGGAAGGAGGTAGACAAGTTTGGCCAGGGAGTCCACCATGCTGCTGGTCAGGCTGGGAAGGAGGGAGACAAAGCGGTCCAAGGGGTCCATCATGGAGTTAACCAGGCTGGGAAGGAGGTGGAGAAGTTTGGCCAGGAAGTTCACCATGCCGTTGAACAGGCCGGAAAGGAAGCAGACAAAGTGGTCCAAGATGTCCACAATGGGGTCAACCAGGCCGGGAAGGAGGCAGAGAAACTTGGCCATGGGGTCCACCAAGCTGCTGGCCAGGCTGGAAAGGAAGCGGAGAAACTTGGCCAAGGTGTCCACCATGCTGCTGGCCAGGCCGGGAAGGAGGTGGACGGGTTGCAGCAGAATATTCATAATGGGGTCAACCAAGCCAGCAAGGAGGCCAACAAGCCGCTGAATGTAGGTGAACAGGGGTGGGGAAACTGGGGAGAAGGGGGCTGGGGGAGGGAGAAGATAAACCCTTGGGAAATCTGGGGAGCCCATATAGCCTTCATTTGGTGAAAGAAGCTCAGGCAGCTATATAATTGTTCCCCTTCCTCCTTCTCTATCTCCCTTACAAAGGAGCTGGTGGTCAGATGGTCAGATCGATTAAGCCATTTTATCTGTAAAGCCTCATATCAGGCATGTGGAAAGGACCCATTTCTACTTTTAGGGAGCTACCCTCCTTTAAGGGGATCTAAAGTAAGGAACATGAAGCCTCTCCTGGGGAGCAGGAAACAGTTACTGAGGTGAAGATCTATTACGGTGCAAAGAGCATGAGTATTGAGAAAACCCAGAGTATAAGCCCCATTCCGTTAAATAGCCCTGTCTATTGGAGATAAGCCCTATCCAGCTCAATCTTCATAACAAATCTCTGAGGTAGTCAGGATGAGGATGCTGACCCCTGATTCTCAGATAAGAAAACTGAGGCTCAGAAAGGTTAAGGGGATATTCCAAAGTCATGTGGCTAATGCCCAGTTTTGGCAAATTGCAGATGAGGGTTCTTTCTCTTCCTCTACACTGCCCGATCAGGGGAGGCCTTCTGGAGGATTTCTCTCACCCATTTATGTAGAGGGAACAGACATTGGAGGCCAGGCAAGCAGCGCCATTCACAACAGAGCAGGCGCCAAGCGGGGAGCTTGTGGAATAGCGGAAGGCTGACTCCTGTATGCCTCAGGTCCCCATTCTCTCATCTCCACGAGGAGTTGTTGGGCTCAGCAAGATGCGACACTATATTGAGGACTGGTCCAGAAACACATCTGCTGCCATGCAGGGAGCCTGGGCTGGGTGGGTGGGGAGTAAGGGACTGTGTAGAAGAGTGCATGGGAGGCGAGAGGGCCCTGAGTTAGACTGCAGTATCCGCTGAGTAAAGGCCAGGAGAGGGTAGCTTGTTATGGAAGCTGAGGCTGCCAACAGCAGCTTGGGGGTAGAGTTCTGATGGGGAGGCTCTGCTGAGTGTCTGGGGATAGGATTAAGGACATGGATCAACCTGAGTTAGGCATAAGGCTAGGTCGTGTGTAGAAGGGCAGGATTTGAGGTCAGGGCTGAGATTAAACTATGGTTCTGGTATTCATGCGGGTTCTCTAGGTTCTCTTTCCAGTCAGGCCCCATCTTAGTGACTGACAGCATTTCATTAACTAAAATAAAAGGGAGTTTGGGGAAGACTAGTCAGGGGGAGGCAGATATCCTTCCTGGCTTTTCTTCCCATCTCTCACAGAATTCCCACAGCAACATGGACTTTGGGTTTTCTTTCTAGCAGGGGGTTAAGGTTGTGCCCCCCACCCCCGTCCCAGTTACCCTATGGGGAGCAGGTCACAGGGGAACCTGGGGGACTCTCAAGAGTGAAGGGGTTATAATGAAGGTCTGATCTTGTCCACAGGCTGGTCATCAAGGCGGAGCTACCGGCCAGCACGGAGGGGCCGCAACCACCACATTGACATCTGGAGTAAGTCTCCCCAGCGCAGCCTGGACTCGGAGGTGGGGGAGTGGAGGCCACTTGGAGGTCCCCTAGGATGGTGGTGGGACGGGTCCTGGCAACTGACCTTTTGTCCTTGAATTCCAGGCCTCGGTCAACAAGCCCTTCATCAACTTTTCAGCTCTGTGGAGGGTAAGTTCCCACATGGTTTCTCTTTTCAGCTGTGTCTTGAGATCTGCTCTTACGCCGCCCTTCCTACTGCCCGTTCACAGACCGCTTCCCTGGGGCAGACTCTCAGCCTTTGCAGAGACCACCCAGCCCACTTTCCCAGCTCTGGTCTTCCCTTTCTCCACCTGCTCTCTGCCCTTCGCACCCCGCTCTCATCTTTTGGGTGCATTTCATTCCCACTGAGGCAAATGCAAGCTGGCAGAAAAGACCTCGAGGTGCACTTGTGCATCTGGGAGCCAAGGAGGGAGGGGCTGCTGAAACCATCATCTCTCCTTGTCACTTGCCAGCTGGCTTCCCTCCCTACCCCACCCTACTGTGAATACCTCTGCTACTCTGCCCCTGCTGCCTCGCGTCAGTGTGCCTGTTAGTGGGAACTTGTGGCTCTGTCCTTTCTCTAGTTGAGAGTCCCCCCATCTCCCCCCAACCCAGTGTAAAGACTCCTGTGGAATCCTGGTCCTCACTGTGGGCCCAAAGTCAAGTCCTGGCTCTCTGTTTTGCATTTAGTATATCCACTGCCTGAGACTGGGGCACAGGGGTGAGGGTGTGTAACAGCCGAAAGGCACACCCTTGTTTATCCTTGGACTATGGGGGTGGCAGAGGATCCTCTGAGGTAAAGCAGACAAGGCTTCTTGGTTTCTGCAAAGGCTCCCAGCACCTCTCCCTGGGAGGGCTGGCTCCCTTTTCCTCCTAAATCTAGATGTCTCCTTCCTTAAGATATTCCCCAGAACATAAACAATTCTTGGGCCATCGCAGTCTCCCTCTCACTTCTCAAAAGGGAGTTGGGAGCAGAGGCTTCCTCATGACTGTATACCCTGCATTCACTCCCTCTCTCCTTCTCTCTTCCAGAGCGTCGCCAACATCATGCCCTAAACTGATGCCCTGGCTTGCAGAGCAGGCTAATGTTCCTGTTGTCACATCAGCTGAAATTACCTGGAGGAGCTGGGGATGGGGGGATAGGTTTATGGGGTCCCTTAAGGGGGCTGCACTGAGAGTTGTGAATAAATGTGACACACTGTGCTCTCTCATCATGGTCCACTGTGCTCCCTAAGGAGGGATGGGCAGTGGGTGGTGTGGGATGAAGGGGAGAGACTTGTCTTTTCTTGTTACTTTGCTGAAGGAGCTGGGGGTCTGATGCACAGGATGGGCTGAGCTGGAGATTTCAGTTTGATCAGTCCTAAGAGGGCAGTTAGGGACAAGCCATGCTTTGCTAGTATGCAGAGTTACTGCTGGGAGCTGGGAAGAGCACCCATGAAGGGAAAGCCACTGCAGGCCAATGGTGGGGACAGAATACCAGAGAGAGAATGGAGAGAGCCTAGGTGGAGCCCAAGGGGGTAGCATCATCACTGGGGGTGTGGTGCCAAAGGAATAACAATAGTAACTTGTCTTTACTGTGCAATTAAGACATGTCAGGCTCCCTGCAGGGCACTTTACATGCATGACATCACCGAATCCTCCCAACCACCCATTAGGTCAGAGGTACTGTTATCGTTCCCATTTTATAGAGGAGCATGTGTTGGCTTGCACAACTTAAGAAACAGGACCAAGTTTACATAGTAAGTGGAGATATTCTGTAGCCTAAGAGCTTCAGAGGTATTCTGGAAACACAGCGGTCTTTTTCTGTAGGCATCTGTAGGTAGAGAGAATCAGTGAATAAGAAGGGAGGAAAGAGATACACGTGAGAGATCCTCTCATGGGAAGGAGAAGGCAGGACGATAGAAGTTTCTGGTGGAAGACACATTGATGACAGGAGGGAGGACCTCTTTACCAAAGACATGAATGGAGACACAGAAGGCCCAGTTTTCAGATCTGTGCTCCACTTGAAGCCCAGAGGAATAATGACAGCAACTATTACATACTGAACATTTACTAGAGTCCCGGTACTATGCAAAAAGCTATTCATATTCTGTAACCATTTAATTCTCCCACAACCTAAAAGCAGAAGTCCTCTTATTATCCCCATTGTATGGATGAGGAAACTGAGGCTCAGAGGGGCAAGGGCACTTGCAGGGTAACCTATGAGAAAGCAGCAGGCCTGGATCTGGTTGCCTGTCTATTGCCAGAACCTTACCTCTCACAGTTGCCTGTAAAATCTCTGTAACACCTCCCAAGCACTGGCCTCGGAGACCTGCCTTCCAATCAGGAATAGGTGCCTGTAGGCAGCTTATTCCCCCTGTAGGGGCCACAATTTCCTCCTTTATAAAGGGTGGCGAGGTGTCTGAAGGGAAGGATACAGTCATTGCTTCAGATCCAAAATTCCATCAATCGTGAGACCAAAAATAAAAGACAGTGTTCTTGCCCTTGGGGGATTTACAGTATTCCTGGGAGACAAGGTGTATAAACAGAATATGCAAACAAAAACAAAGCAATGCATCAATAAGAACTCAATGACACACCAGGGAGGGGAGGGACCTGCGTTTGCACAAGGTGATGTTCCTGACACTTTATATTCAGTGCATTTTTCCTTATTTTGTAGAATACATCATTTTATTACACATGTTCCTTTCCTCCTCATGCAGTATTTCATTTTGAAGATATTTCAAGCTTACCAAAAGGATGAAAGAATTTTACAGTGAACACTTGCATTCTCTCCACTGAGATTCCACCATTAATGTTGCTACACGTGCATTATCACATGTCTATCTATGGCTAATATCCAGCCTCCTGTCAGTACACCTCTGATGCATTTCCGAGTAAACTGCGGACATCTGTTTGCTGCACTTTAGTTAACATAACTATTCATTCATATCAGGTATTTACTAAGGGTCTACTCTCACTGGACATCACTTCATATGTACTGGAGGAGTCGCTACTTGAAGGAATCCTACAGTGGCTGTTTTTGAAAAGGAAATATTCAAGGGAATCATACTTTTATAAAGTAAACATTTTAATTGACTTTATTTTTATGCACAGTTTCTTGCTGGGTTTGCTTGGATGGGGGTCCTGCTGGTACCAAAGAGATATGGGATCATCAATATGCACCGAGGACCAATCCTGGGAGGCTTCTGGAAAAGGAGAGCTTTGAGAGGGTTTTGAAGGGTAAAAGAGGCACAGCTCTCTCCTGCCTGGAGGCATTGTCTACTGTTCCCTCTACTAGGAATATTCTCCATGGCTCTCTGTCCCCCATGCTGGCTCTTCCTCTCCCTTTAGGTCTCAGCTACCTTGACCATCTAACCTGAACAACAGTCTACCCTCATCATTATCTCTCATCCACCCTGATCTTGTCCTTCAAACTGCTTATGACAATTTGTAATTATATTGCAAATATTACTTCTTTAATATCCACTTACTCCTAGACTAAGAGGTTCAAGAGGTGAGGTCGAGGCCAGGCACAAATGTCAGGCAACTAGCAGAGGGGAGGCCACTGCCTGAGCAGACTTGAGAAAGGTTGTGGAATAAGTGTGAGCAAGAAATATGCTGCTTTGCCTGAGATGGGTGGAGCTAGGCCAGGGAGTAACAAACAGAGGAAGGGCCAGTTTCTGCAGATGCTGAAGAACAGGGAGTTTGGGTGGGACTTTCACAGCCATCTTTTACTGGATGCTTACCGGGTCTGTGCCAAGCACTTACAGACATGATTCATTCCATCTTCACAACCACCCCATGGGGCAGGTACCATGATTATGCCCCTTACAGAAGAGGAAGACAAAGCTCCAGGAAGGGAGAGAGTTGCCTGCGGCCACCCAGCTAGTGAGAGGTGATGGCAGGGCTCCAATTCCCTGCTGGTAATCTCTGCTAGGAGGTGCTATGTGTCCCTGTGACCCTCAGGAAGGGGAAAGGGCTATTCAACATAAGTCCTCTTTAAAAATAAACCTCTGCATTCGGTCCTTTCAGGACGTGTGGATGGGCGGGTGTGTGTCTCAAGATAAAACAACTGCCAAGAAAGCATTTCAACAGTAGCAACACATCCAACTCTACCAAGAACATATACCAAGTGCTCTTGTGCACCAGGCACTTTTCTAGGCTCTTTACATGTGTTCCATCAGTGAATCTTCACATTTCCCCTCTTTACAGATGAAGAAACTCTTTACAGATGGGTTAAGATCACGGTTAGTAAGTGACGGAGCTAGGATTTGAACTTAGGCTCCAGAATAGGTACTATAGTTGAGATGAGCCTGCAGATGCCAGTTTGAGGCCCTAGGACCCCAGAGAAGGGAGCAGAGACATCACCCAAGGCCTTCTCTTCCCACTATACTTGAGTCCAGCCATTCCCTCCCTGAAGCTTTCTCCCACATCTCTATACTCCCCAATTCCCCCAGTCTGTTCTCTAGAGGAATCCCGTTAGTACCTGCACCAGCTCAGAGTCCTCAGTTGGTTCCACCTCATTCACAGTAAGAGTTGAAGACCTCATAATTGTTCCCAAGGCCCCAGGATCTGGCCTCCTGTTTCCCCCCTGCTCCAGCCACCGTGGTCCTCAGATACACCTAGCAGGCTCCTGTCTCACAGCCTTTGCACTCTTCCCCTGGTTGGAATACTCTATCCCCAGATACCCTCACGGCTTGCTCTCTCACTTCCTTCAGGTCTCAGCTCATAGGTCACATCTCAAAGAGTCCCTTCCTGACCACCCTATTTAAAATTCCTCCCCTCGTCTCTATTCCCTCACCCCACATAGTGCTCTTTACCTCCTGACGTGCTCTTTGTCAAGCTTCCCCTGCAGTGAAGGAGAGCTCCCCAAGGAGAATGATTTTGCTGACCTTGTTCCATGCTGTGTCCCCAGTGCCTGGAATAGGCGTGGCACGGAGTAAGCTGTTGAGCGGATGAAGTAGTGAATTAGAGAGAAAAGCGGAAACCAGAGAGCCTTCGACATGACATGGGCATGTCAGATTTGCGGACGCTATTATGTACAAGAACACGGAGGCACGGTGACGTAGGAGAAAACGCTGTTTGGAGTGAGACAACCTGAGTCAAATTTTGACAGCTCCATTTTACCATGATCTTTTCACATATGATCTTGCGTGTGAGGTTTAACCACTCTGGGACTCAGCTACCTCATCTGTAAAATGGGAATAACATTGACCTCGAGGTTATAGTGAGGATAAAACAAAGCCATGTATGTGAAAACACCTAATATTCTACTTGGTTCACAATAGGTATTTAATAAATATGCCTTCAGACTGACCTGAGGTGGCTCCACAGGCCCAGACATATCTGAGGGCAGTTTTTTCCAGAAGGTAGAACACGGGATCTGGTGGCATGGGAGAATTTAGGCGGTTCACGGACATGGCTTTGAATAACTCTGAATCACACAGTGAGAAACTTACTCTCTTCTCCATTCTCTCTTAAGCTTTCTGATTATGTTAAAGAGAAAGACTTGCTTTCCAAGCTTGTGTGCCTGAACACCTCTCTCCTACTTGCTAATCTTCCTTTTTAACAAAGAGGGTACAGGGGCTGCAGCCAGCTTAATGTAATACGCTTGTTTGCTTCTCACTATATTTTTCCAGTACTTTTTATTTACAGGCAAGTGATCCTAGCCTTCCACTTACAGTAGTGATATAAAGTATCCTCTTAAAATATTAAGTAAGAAAGTAAGTTGGTTTAAAGAAAAATATTAGTCACAGAAAGAGAAGGGACAGGGCAGATAAACAACACTGTGAAGGCTGCACCCAATGAGGGAGTCGGGGAAGGAACGAGTCCTTGAGTCAAGGGCTCTGCCCAGGGCCCCTCCTCCTGCCCTATGGTCCTGACCAAGGAAAGAGGGAAGCATCTAGCTCGGGGGATGGGGTCTCCATCACCAGTCCTGGGGGGCCGAGATTTACTCCTGCATGCCTCTCTGCACACACATAGCTCCAGAGCAACACTGAAATCAATTCTATCACGAGAACCACTAAGGGGCTTTGAGAAATGGGGGGAGGTAGGAGACACTAAAAATACAGAAAATGCTTGCGAGAAAGGGCTTGGGGTGAGCGGGTCTGGTTTCGGCTCTTGGCTCTACTGCACACTCACTGTGGCCTCTCTGAGCCCCAATCCCTGTGTCTCGGAGTGGGGTGTAATAAGACCTATCTCTCAGGGCTGCCCGATCCTTAAAGTGCTTAGTCCAGTGCTGGGCACATAGAAAGCCTTTGATAAGCTGGATTGCAATTATTATTATTATTATTACCACCATCATTATTATCATCATTAACGAGTCAGAGATGGAACAAAAGGGAGGTAGGAGCTGAGGAGGACAGACAGGGATTGTGTTTACATGGCAAGAAGTGTTGAATGTTACAAGTTGGGGTGCGGGTGTTGGGGTGGAGAGAGAGAGGGAGAGACTGACTGAGAGACATTGAGAAAGGCAGATGGAAACTGGCCCCTCCTAAGTAGGTGATGAATCCCAGTGATATGGGGCAGTGCCAAGTGGGAGGACCTGGGTCCCTGGGAATGGAGAAAGCCACACTTGCTGAGCAGGGATGAGACCTGGGGAGGATGCCCGAGTTCTGCATCCCGAACTGGGACTGAGGGGAGGGCCATGGTGCTGACTGAGGGCTCCTGACCTTGTGCTGACCCCTTCTCCCTCGCTAGTGCTGCCCTGGCCCCTGGGGGAGGCAGGTGGGGAGGGGGGTTTGAAGTGAGCTGGTGCAGTCCCGCCCCTCATGGGAGGCAGTGAGCTCACCCTCAGACACGTGTCCCCTCCAGGGCGGGTAAACAGGATGGATGCCTGGGTCAGCGGCTCCCTCCCTTGGTCTTTCCCTCCCACTCATTCCCTGGGGGTGGGTGGCCCGCCCAGCAGGCTCCGGCCGGCTCCCCTGCTCCACGCCCAGCTTTCTCAGCCAAGAGCAGCTCCAGTGCTCACTGAAATACCCTGAGGACCACCCTCAGGGTCGCGGCCACTTCCTTCCCTGATGTCTGGGGCCCCCCGCTGAGGCTTTTCCCCAGAACCTTAGAACCGCAACCGCAGAACCACGGCTGCCAGTCTCTCTGTGGGCTGGAGGGTGTGGAAGGGCATGAAGGCAGTCACCTTTTGGTGGCAGTGAGCGAGGGGGGAGAGATGAGAGAACAAAGGCCAACTGAAACTGAGAAAGGCCAAGAATGCCTCTCATTCTGGTGTCCCCCAACCCAGGCTGGCTGACACCAAGGGCAGGTCCTGTTCCACTGGGCTTCTCTACCCTCCCATCTTCCTAGGGGTCCTGCCTGTGATTTCTCTCTCCTAAGTGCCCCCACCCCACCACTTGCACGAGACACCAACAATCTATCTCCTCAAATGCCCCTGTCCCCACCCCGCCTGCGCCCCAAATTCCTGGGGTTGGGAAATTGGAACGCTTTTGCATCCATCTCATTCCATTTCTCCCTCCCTCCCTGATGCATGGGCTCCCTCTCTGTTTCAACACAGACCAGACTCACAATTACAGCTTATTACCCTATCAGTGGCAGGACCCTGAGTCATGGGGGGGAGGGACTCCGGGCTGCCCAGCCCTGTCACCTTTTCCCAACCTACAGTATAAGGAGTAGTGACAGGGAGGAGGACTCTGGGAAGGCAGGGGAGTCTGGGAAAGGAGAGAGAAGGCTGCAGACCTATAGGGAGGGAAGAACGAGGCACCAGAAGGAAGAAGAGAAGGGAGAAGGGTGCTCAGAAGAAGAGAAAGGGCAACAAGAAGTAAACTGGGGTGGGGAGAAGACACTCAGGAGAGAGAGAGAGCTGGGCAGAGATGAAGTTACAGGGGTCCCTGGCCTGCCTCCTGCTGGCCCTGTGGCTGGGCAGTGGGGAGGCTGGCCCACTGCTGAGTGGAGGGGAGAGCAGTGGAACAGCTGTTGGGGAGGCCATTGGACATGGGATGGGAGACGCCATCAGCCATGGAGTCAGGCAGGCCATTGGTCAAGGAGTCGGAGAGGGAGCCAGCTCTGGAGCCAGGGAGGCTGTGGGCCCTGGTGTGGCAGATACTCTCGGCCACAGGCTTGGGGAAGCAGCCCACGCTCTTGGAAATACTGGGAGTGAGGCTGGCAGACAGGCTGAGGATATCATTCGACATGGAATAGATGCTGCCCACAGCTCCTGGCAGGGGATGCCTGGCAGCAACGGTGCTTGGGTGAGTGGCTTGGAAGCCAGGGGAGGAAATGGGAGGCTGTGAGCAGCTGGGTTGAGAGTCTTAGGAACAGTTGAACGGCTGAATGGATCTCTTATTTGTGGCTGTCTGGGGCTGTTTCCTTCCATGTTATGTACCCTTCCTCTGCCACCTTGGAGTCTCTCTCTAGATCTTTCTGGTTTGCTCTGGCTCTTCTCTATCTTATGTTGCTTTGCCTTCCCTTCCCCAGTCAGAGTCAGAGAGGGTCACACTGAGTGCAGGCATATTGTTCTTCCAGGGAACCAATGGCCAGCCTCTATCTGGAGGCCATGGCATCTCTGGCTCTCAGGGTAGCCTTGGAGGCCACAGCCAGGGTAATCCTGGAGGTCCAGGGACTCCTTGGGGCCATGGACACCCTGGAAGCTCAGAAGGCAGCTTTGGAGCCAACTCTCAGGGAGGCTCCTGGGGTCAAGGAGGCAATGGAGGGTCATTCAACTCTGGCACCAATGCTCAGGTAAAGTAACCGCCCCAGCCCCGATACCTGCCACCTCCCTCCCTTCAAGCCCACACTCTCATGCCTTCCTTATCCTTCCAGATCCCACACTCAGTCCCACCCTCCTTACAGGGAACTGTGGCCCAGCCTGGTTATGGTTCAGTGAGAGTTGGTGGCCAAAATGCAGAGGTAAGAGGAGGAGTCTGGGGATCAAGAGGGTGTCTGGGTGCATGTGACAGAAAGTGGAGGAGAGACAAAGAGCAAAGGAAGACGGGCAGGGAGGGACTGGGGTAGGAGGGCATCTGGACTGGGAAGAGATGGTGTGGGGAGGAGGCTAGGAAGAGGGGAGGGAAACAAGAAGGGCATGGGGGAGAGACATGTTGGGGGGAAGGAAGCAAGCCACAACCAAGCAGGAGTGGCCTGGCTTGTGGAGATGCCTTTGTCTGAAACCTCTCAACTCACTTGTCCCCTTCCCTCTGCAGTGCACCAACCCCCCACCATCTGGCTCAGGTGGAAGCTCTGGCAATTCTGGGGTAAGAGAAGGGAGGCAACCTGTGGCATTCTGCACTGGGAGGACATGGAGGGACTCTGCTCCCCCTCAGACTGGGCAGGGGATTTGTTCCAGGCACGAAAAGAAGGGGAGGAGGGAGGCAATCTTGATGTTCCTGTCTTTAGACCTGCTCTGGTCTCTTCCTTCCCCTCAGGGAAGTAGCAGCTCACAGTCAGGCAGCAGCGGCAGCGGCAGTGGCAGTGGAGGCAGCGGCAGCGGCAGTGGCAGTGGAGGCAGTGGCAGCAGCGGCAGTGGCAGCAGTGGCAATGGCGGCAGCAGCGGCAGTGGTAGTGGCAGCAGCGGCAGCGGCAGTGGTAGTGGCAGCAGTGGCAGTGGTAGTGGCAACAGCGGCAATGGTGGCAGCAGCAGCCATGGTGGCAACAGTGGAAATGGTGGTGGCAGAGGCAGTGGCAGCAACAGTGGCAGCAGTTCTGGTGCTAACTGGGTGAGTTTTGCTCCTCTATTGAAGGCAGAGATAGGGTGCGGGCTATGGGGGTCCCTGCTGAGAAGTCAGGCTCTGGAGTTTCCCTGGCAGCCGCTGCAGCCCTGAGGTGGGTGGTGTCACTGGCAGTCATCCTCCTGGGGCTCCCTCAGCCTGTCTCCCACCTTCCCAGCCCCAGCTGAGCAGTGCTCCTTACATACACACTACAGGAGGTGCCCTGCCTGCTTCTGCTCACTTTGGTGGCTTCTCATCCACTCCGTGATGGTGGGAAGGGTCTCTCTCCTACCTAACCTCTATTCCTGCAGTCATATCCACTTGGCAAGCCTGAGTAGAGCTGGGGTGGTGGAGGGAAGAAAAGAGGTGGCACAAATATGCACCTGTTTGGGAAGTTCAGGAGCACGCGGGCAGGACTGCACATGTGTAAGGACGTTTATGAGCTGTGGTGTAGACGATGCTAATAATTACAGTGCACATGTGAGGCCCCTACATGAGGAGGGGGCCAGGAGGACAGCCACAACCTGGCAGCTGCAGTAGAGCCCCAAGAGAGGGGGCTGGAGAGAGGAAGCCACAACTCCTTGTGGGGTCTGGGAAAGGTCTCAGGCAAGAGGGGGTAAGTAACTATGACAAGCTAAATAACACGAGCTGCTTTAATTTATTGCCCTTTGTACTACTCTCTTTTCCCCCCATCTAGGACCAACCCTTAGAAAATTCTAAGAATTTTGATCACAGCAGCTACGCAGGCTCCCAGGTAAGGATGCTAAGGGTTCTTTCTTTCCACTTCCTAAGTTCCAGGAGAGGGTGAGGGGTGCGGGCTGGGTGTGAGTGGGGGAGCAGAACGAGCCTCAGCCTGCTCCCTGGTGACAGGATGGCAGCTCCCCTGTCACGAGGCTCCATTTGCCACCTCTGGCCTGCAGCGGGGGTGAGGGTCGGGGGACAACAGCTCAGATTCCCCAAATCATTTGGGAATCGCATATTTCCAAATGATTGGCCACATCTGGCCTTCTCTGTGCATAGAATAACTTCCCTCGGTGACCAACTGGCTAAAGATGGGGAAGATATAGAGGTTGAAGTGAGGTTTGGAATCTGATCAGGGGTTACAAAAATCCCCATAATACCGCAGAAAACTACGTGGTCCCTTTGCAAGTCCTTTCAAGACAACCTATGAACTCTTGCTTTCCATGGCAGGGATCCAACACCGGCTCTTCCTCAGGTAGCAGCGGTGGAAGCGGTGGTGGAAACAAACCTGGGGTGAGTGGCCGGTGAGCACACGGCACAAATCTCCCTCAGACTGTGAGAAGGAAAAGAAGAGGAGGTGGGGCCCCTGCAGGATGGGGGAGCAATGGCTCAGCTGAAAGGGGCTGGATTGCTGCTGAGGTGGAGCGGAAGTGGGCTCACCACAGGGTTAAAATGCTGCCATCGGGGGGCTGGAAGTGCTGTCTCAGAAGGGACTGAGAGAAAGTCTTCCCTTTCTCTCTCCCACAGTGTGAAAACCCAGGGAATGAAGTCCGCATGTCCGGAGGATCCGGGGGTCAGGTGAGAGCCACACCCATGCATGGTGACTGCAGTTTGTCCCCGTGACTGTGCCCACTCCTGATAACTCACCTCTACTCAGCCCCTTCCTGATGCTCACCACACCCATTGGGGAAGAACTGACAACTTAAGCAGGAGAAACCAAATGCGCACTCCTAAAAATCCTAGCACTGTGCAGAGTGATAATTCATTGCAAATCCTTCCATGCTATACCACACTTTATCCCACAGATGGGGCTGTGAGAAGTTCTATGTAAAGCAGCCCTTTTAGAAACTTATCATTTCAAATGTCCTATGAACAGCCAGTGAACAGAATTCAGTGAACTCTGACAGAGAGAAGTGTCTTGGAAAGTACATTTCCCTCCAGCTATTCTGGAAATCTGGGCTTTATGTTAGCACCTGTGGCATTGACAGAGTGTCAGGCTCATGTCCACATGAATCACCTAGAGGCTTTGTGAAAAAGGCAGGTTGATTCAGCAAGTCTGGGGTGGGGCCGAGACTGTGCATTTCTAACAAGCTCCCGGGTGAGGCTGACCCTGCTGGTCTGTGCACTGGTGGGAGCGTGGTCCACACGGTAAGGAGCAAGGCCAGACGGGAGAAGATGGCAGTGGGGTGGTGGTAAGCTGCGACGGCTCTCTAAAGAGTCCTCACATATTAGGGATACGAACCTTTTATGGGTAAACAGGTCTTAAGCAAATTTATCCCAGCTTGTAACTCTATTTCTAGTTTTTTTATATACCAAATGTAGATAGTTAAAAATATCAATCTTTTTCTCTATGGTTTCTGCTCTTGGTGTGTTGCTTTAAAGGTCTTTATTTACTTCTAGTACTATGAATACTTCTATAATTTTATTTTTTTCAGGTTAACTCTAATCCATCTGGACTTTATTTTGCTGTATACTGTGTAGTCTCAATCCTCAATCTAACTAGACTTACCCTATACTTTGGATCAGAGCTGTGTGCTCCTTTATAAGGGGAAAACCAGCTAAAAACAGAAGGAAGGAAACTGCTGGGGTATAGCTAATATTTCTCCCCAAAGGAGGGTAACTCAGAAAGTTCGTGGAAAATAGAATTCAAAGATAATACGAATCTTTCCATGAACTATTTTTTTTTTTTTTTTAAAGATGACCGGTAAGGGGATCTTAACCCTTGACTTGGTGTTGTCAGCACCACGCTCTCCCGAGTGAGCCACGGGCTGGCCCCTTTCCATGAACTTTTTGAAGACCCCTTGTACTTAACTGATATTCCTAGTCCCATGTATTGAATCATTTCCACCAATGAGTTAAAATGCACTTATGAATACCTTAATATTTGGGGGGAGTTTCTGGGGGTTCTATTTCGTTAAACTGATTCACCTGTTTTGGGACAGGTACCACACTGGTTTATTTATGGCAGCTTTAATAATAATACCTGCCAGTACAAATCCTCCCTGGCCACTTATCTTTTCCAGTATTTTCTTACCTATTCTTAGACCTTTACTTTCCAAATGAATTTCAAAGGTATTTTGACAAGTTCTAAAAGAGAATTCCATTAGGATTTTTAAAGAAATCGTAGTAAATCAAAGCATTAATTTTGGGGGCGGCCCCAGAATCTAAAACAGGGATCTGTGTTTCATTGTCTCATCCCTCAGGGCTTCAGAGGAGTACAGGGAGGCCCCAGCGGCGCCAGTGACATCAGGGTAAGGGGACGGCGGTCTTGAGAGTAGACTGTGCCAGTAGTAAATGGGATGGAGGGCAACTCTCCAGTAGCAACACCAGCAGAGCAGACAGTCCCACGCTGTGGCCTGGTCTACATGTTAGCTCTGGAATGAGGAAGTGCCAGTGGGTCTGGGATTGACCATGTTTCATACCAAATAATGAAAGCAGGACTCAAGAGGAGCCTGCCTCTAACTTATGAGGAGACTAAGCAGTCTACTTCTGTGCCATCTCAGCTCCCTGCCTCTCCAGCTAGCATTGCCTTTTTTTTTTTAAAAGATGACCGGTAAGGGGATCTCAACCCTTGGCTTGGTGTTGTCAGCACCACGCTCAGCCAGTGAGCTAACCGGCCATCCCTATATAGGATCCGAACCCGTGGCCTTGGTGTTATCAGCACCGCACTCTACCGAGTGAGCCACGGGCCCGCCCTAGCATTGCCTTTTTGACCAATGCAAAACAGCAATCCAGATGGGGCCCCTCAATTTGGATCAATTCAGTCCAATAGCGTGGCTTGTTCCTGCTTCAAAACCAGGGAGAAATTCAGATGCTCTGGTGGCAAAGGCCCTTCGTGCTGTATTTTGGGCAGCTTACAGGAAGAATACAAAGAGATGGTGATGTTATCCATAAACATCAAAAGTGAGCAGTAACCCAGTCCACAGGAGATTGAAACAAGATCTTCCAGGGAAGATGGAGCTACCCTGAAAGAAGGACCTCCTTCCCGGGGACCTGGGAAGTCCTCTGACATGTTCATATCTCGGTCCCCTCACCTACACCCTGCTATCGTCCCCTCTCATCCCCTAGCCTGCCCGCCTGCCACCCCACTGATTCTTCTCCATTTTCTGTCTCCTTAGGAAATAAGCAAAGAGGGCAATCGCCTCCTTGGGGGCTCCTACGGCAATCATCAGGTGAGCCTAGAAGCAGGTGGGGTTGGTTTTAGGAGAATGGAAGGTGGAATGTGGGGACAGAATGCCAAGGGCCTGGAGAAATAACAAAAATATCAATTTGCTCTTGCAAACTGCTCTCGATCTGTGTCTGATGACCATCAGGAGATCAAAATGGGGGTCTGAGATCCGCATCCGCCTCCTTGATTCATTATTTTCCTCCCTCCTTCCAATTGGGATCAGAGCCATCTTACCTTTGTGAGGGGAAAAACAGACAAAAATAACAGAAGAATGGACAAGGGGATATTCTTCACTTTCCTTAAGAAGGCAGTGTTGAGAAGTGGAAAGCCACTGAACTTTGAGTTAGACTGGGGTTCAAACGCCAGCACTGTCACTAGTCATCTGTGCGTTTTCAGGCAAGTCAGTTCACCTCTCCGAGCCTGGACTTCCCCAGGTAAAATGGGCACAGTGGAGCCTGACTTGCTCGCCTCCCACGGTTACTATAGAGCTTTTTGTGTCATTAGCAGACCAAGGTGGTACAGCATCCTGACACTGGAGACAGATCCTGAGGCAAGCAGCCGGACACCTATGAGTTAGTTCCCTCGTCTGTAAAATGGAGACACCTCCCACATAGGAATACAGAAGGATAAGGCCCAGTGCTCAGCGCTGAGTGGGACTACACATTAGCTACTCTTATCACTAATGGTGTTTTGGGGACAGGAGAGGGGTAAGGTTATACGGTGGCCAGTCATTCTAGGAAGACTTTCAGAGGTGGGATTTTTAGGTGTGGTGTGCAGAAGAGAAGGTGGCTTTGCAGAGACGAGTGCGAGGAGCTTTGGCAAAGGTGGAGATGAGTGGGCAGGAACAGGCTGACAGATGGCATGCATGATAAGATGCATAGGCCTCGAACGTCAATCCCCCTTTTCCCCACCCAGGGGCAAGGGCCCAGTGGGGACAAGGGAAGAGGTGACATTGTCAGTGGAGTCAATACTATGGTGAGTGGAGGCGTGACTCCACCTGGGCTGGGACCATGGTGTCAAGCAGTTCTTGTCTCCCCTCCTGACACACAGATCTTCTGTCCCTGCCTCTTGCTCACAAAGTGGATTCTCAATCTCATCCTATTTCTTCTTGGCTCTTTAGAATTCTGAGACGTCTCCTGGGCCCTTCAACTTTGACACTTTCTGGAAGGTGAGTTCTGCAAGATTGCTCTGCTCACTGTCGTTTGGAAAACCAACACCTGTCCCTTGGCCCCACCGGCTAAAGTCCGCTGTACCCAATAGTCAGCAGTGGTCTCTGACTGTTCTTGGCGTAAGGCCCTGAGCCAATTACATTATGACCCAATTTGTCCATTCTTCTTTTTTTCTCTGCAGAAATTTAAATCCAAGCTGGGTTTCATTAACTGGGATGCCATAGACAAGGTAAGGGCTAAAAGACCATGTAACTCCAATCTTTGTGGGATAGGGATATGGAGAAGAAAGCTACACCTCTCTTTGGTGAGCTAGGGAGCAACCATCATGGCCACTAGGAAAGCATTTATGCCAGTGCTAAAAACAAAAACAAACAGGAAACAAACTGGGGGGTGGAGGGAAGAACAGCAGAGACCCCAAAAAGAGGGAGAATTTGGAAACAGCTGTAATTGGGGATGAGTGAAAGGGATGGACCTTTTTAATGTCTCAACATACAGACCTGAGCACGTTCTGAACCTCAGTTTTTCCAGCAAGATCTGGAAGGTTAAGGGGAGAGTAAGTAGGCCTAATCCTAGGGGACAGACTGAATGATGAGTCAGGTGGAGCTAACAGGCTCCATGAGGACTGACACACCCAGAGAAGGGAACGTTTGCTGACTGCCTAATGGATGGTAGGCATTGTCTGGGCCTTGTGCATACATAATCTTAGAAGACAGTTAGGCCTCCTCTCCTTCCTCCCTGCCCACCCCTCCCTCTTGTAGGGGAATATCTGCAAGGCTGATTTGACACCAGAATAGCAGATGCACCTCCACAGTAGAGGGGGCGGGACAAAAAGGGAGGGAACGAAGGGCCGGCGAGCAATCCGAACAGCCCTCAATGGCAGAAGCTGCAGTCAGTGGCTCACCCATGTGTTTTGTTTGATCCACACTTTTTTATATATTAACTAGTTGCCCAAAGTTTAAAAATTGAAAGACTTCACATAATGATTTGGATTTCCGGCTTCTCTCGAAAGATGTGGCAACACTGGGCCCCCCGATTCCCTGGTAGAGTGGAACAGCAGCTGCTTCTGTCACCCATCACAGTCATTGAGCCACCTGCTGGCCGCTGTGAGCAGCTGAGCTTCTGACCCTTCATGTACAAGAATGAAGACTAGGGTCCCTGCCTTCCAAAGCTTGTGGTCTTTATGGCAGCAGGGGGTAGAGGTCGGCAGGGAGGCTGGATAGCCCGAACCTCAGGAAAATCCAAGTCTGACCTCTTGGGAATGAGGTGGGGGAATGAAAGACAGGAGAGTGCAGAAATTCCCAGCTGCGGTGGATTTCTCGTTTGAATGAACAAAATACGTTCTCTGTTTTACAGTGAACAGATTCTGGTAGGGGCACGGCTCCTTACTGTGGACCACGGGGAACTGAGGCTCTGATGGGAGAACAAGGGCACATGCAGACACTTCCCAGAGGGCCAGGACAGTCAGCTAAACGTTTTTGCCCACGTAGGGGAGCAGTGAAGGAGTGGTCACAGTTAGGCGGGATCCGCATGGGCCGGCGTCCTGGAGGGGCAGATCTAGAAAGAGGGGAGGACAGAGATGGGCAGAGAAGAGCACGGAGCTCCATATCCTTCACCATGGGTGGAGGCCGCTGAGGACTTCGGCCAGAGTGACGAGTGAAGAGGGGAATGCTATGTAAAGCTCCTGGCGAGGTAGGGGGTTCTCAAGCCCAAGCTGGGACATCTGGATTCATTTGGATGACAATGGTGGGCAAAGAGCTCCCTGCAGATTTCCACCCTTCTACGCTACCCTGTTCTACCCTTGCCTTGGCCCACTCCTCCCCTGAATTCTTATTCCTCGAGCTCCCTCCTAGAACCTATTTCTTTGCCCAGGACCAGAGGAGCTTTCGCATCCCGTGACCTCCAGACAAGGAGCTACCAGATGGATGGGAGTCCCCCACTCCCTTCTTAAAACACCACTATCTCATCACTAGTATCAACCCTTGCCCTGGAAATAAACCTTAGCTGCCCCACACTCCTGGTCTCTGCTCCTTTCTTACGTCTCCACTGTCATTCTGGGAGGTTTGGAAAGGGTGGCTTCAGCCCTGCAGCTTTGGGAAATGGGCCGGAGGTGGCATGGCAGGTGAAAAGGCCGGAAAGCTCTGGGGACAGGTCCTGGTCCTGAGCTTTTGCTACAATTATGTTCTGCCAGAGGTCAGGGGAAACTAGGATAAAGAACATTGTGTATGTGCTGGAGGAGGGAGGGTTGGTTAATGACTCCAGAGATCTAGCCTCTCTCTCCTTCTGTTTCCAGAAACAGTTTTCTGTTGCCCCTAAAGACTCCCAGCTCCCCCCTTCCCTCCACTGCCCCATCGGTGAAATTCTGAAGCTTTAGGTGAGTGGGGGGTCAGGCCCCCTGCTAACCTGCTCCCCACCTTTCATCCACAGAACCAAGTCCTGTCCCCCAGCACTCGAGCCCTCCTCTACTTCCGCCGACTCTGGGAGGTAGGAGAATTCTTGCTTTTTGAAGAACTGGGGATCCTGGTCATCCTGTCCCTCCCCATGGCTCCCTCAAGGCAGACACCCTCAGCTCCAGCCTACTTGTGATAAAATCCCCCCTTTTCATATTTGAGACTGGTAATCTCACCCAAATCTTATCACTAATACCACCTCAAATTGTAACGGCCTCAGTCTCCAGTACACTTTTCCTTTAACCCCAAGCCACACCCAGCCTCTAAAGCCCAGTCCTACACGTGGTCTGGAAACTTTCCCACTGTGCTGCCATGTACCACCCTCTGAGTTGTGTCTCCTGGGGGCCCACTCATCTGTCCTTCTCCCTCCAGGATTTCAAACAAAACACTCCTTTCTTCAACTGGAAAGCAATTATGGAGGTAAGGGGGGCAGAACTCATCATGTTGGGGAGAGAAAACTCAGCTCTGGGGACATGAGGTTTGTGGCCCTTGGCAAGTGGCTTACTGATTCTGTCCCAGTTTCAGCAGGGTGCCTCCCTTCCCATTTCCTCAATTTATGCAACCCTGGGTGGGGGTGGGGTGAGTGAGGCAGAAGCTGTGAGTCACTAAAGGAGTAGGGTGGGAGGTCCTCTGTAGGATAAAAGCCCAAGGATTGGGGCACACACAGGCACAGAAACATGAAGCCAGCCACTGTCTCTACTCTGCTGCTGTTCCTGCTGGGCGTGGCCTGGCTTACGGGGAGCCACAGCTGGGTGGGTACTCCAGGGTGAGCAGGTGGAGGGAGACCATGATGTGGGGAAGGGGGAAGGACTGGGGCTAGTGTCATCTCTCAGGTGCTGGAAAAGGGGGACTGTGGAAGAAAGCCAAAGGGAAACAGGAGAAGCAGTATGTGGGGTGATCAGGTCAGGGTCAAGTGCATGTGGGTGCACAGGGTCTGAATATCTGGGTCCTGGGAAGGATGGGCAGGATTTCTGGGTCCTCTAAAAGACCACACCTCAATTATGCATGGCCAGTGGCCATTGGGAAACAGGACTCTTGGGCACTGAGGCAAGGGCTGCCCACATACATGTTCATAGGGGCCAGGCATGTGAGACTGAACAGGTGGGGCCATGCAAAGGGGGAGGTCAAGGTTTTCAGCTCAGTGTCCATCATGCACACACGTTGGACCAGTGTGCCTATGTCTGGTTTTTCAAGAAAAGCTGGAAATCTGATTTTTAATTGTTTTCCACTAATTTAATTAAAAAATGCAGACCAAGCAAAAATGTCTGGAGGCCTGTGGACAAGGCCAGTTTGTGACCTCAGTGTTAGGACTAATAGTAGGGTTAAGGCTCAATGCCAGGTACGGGTAAGGCGGAGAGTTAAGTCAGAGTTAACTTTTATACCCTAAGCGCACATAGCTCATGCGCACGCCTCGATGTGAGTGTTCCTAGTAGAGAAGTGATGACGGAAGGAACTAAATTTCTTCTTTCCTAGTGCTTAGACTTTCTCCCTTTCCCTTGGGAAGAGGGGGTGCCAAGTGCATCTGTGGAACGCCTTAGGTAGCTTCGTCTGCTTTCTTGTATTTCTCCTCTTTCTTCCCTTCCTTTGATCCAGAGATAAACTAATCACTTAGCTTCTGTAGATAAAGTCCATCCTTCCAAGGACCCAGTAGGGAATAGCATTTGTGTATGGGGATTAAAGGGCCTATGAGGGGAGCAGTAGGGTTTGGGGTAGGCAAAAGGCGGGCTGGGGCTGAGGTGCCTGGGTCTGCCCCTGAGGAGTCTGTGTGGATTCAACTCACTTGTTATTCTAGTTCAGTCTCAGGCCAGAGCTGCCAACGCTCCAGGTGCATGGGTGGGGGTGGTGTTGCCAAACCTGGTTCTCTACCCTCACTTCCCAACCCTGAGTGTGGAAATCTATGTCCTGTATCTATCTGGGCCATCAGTTTCCTCCAGGCCCACTGCCTTCTCTGTAAGTAGCACTTATCATGGACCATTGAGAGGGGTGGGGCGTGTTGGGGTGGGTGAGATGCCAGCGCTCCACAAGGAGGGCAGAGCCTAGGCAGCAGGGTGCTAGAGCTCCAGACACCAACTGGGAAGAAACCGACTGTGGTCCTTTCTCCCTTTCAGGGTGCAGATGCGTCATCCCTACAGAAGAGGGCGGGTGGTGCTGATCAGGTGAGTCCCTCTGTCCTCAGATTCCCCTGGAAGGCCCTTGGTTCCTCTCAGCCTCCTTCCCGGGTCTGGCCAATCTGAAATTCTTTCACTCTTCCGTTCAATTGTTTTCTCAGCCTGCTGCAAGATGGCAAGAGGTGGCTGTAACTTCCAAGGTACAACCTGATTTAGATATCACTTCTTTCCTTGGTCTCCTATCCCCACCGCCCAAGTAACCCTTGAAGAGTTGGGAGAGGTACCGAGAGAAGGAGGAGGAAGGCCATTGGCCTAGGACAATCAAGTGAGGTGAGGGTGTGGGCTCTGGCTGGCTGGAGGAGTTTCTATAAAAGAAAATACAGGATATAAGGAGGGGAGAAGGCAGGGGCTTTAAGAAAGCTCCAGTCAGGGAAGGAAGGTAGGGTGTTTATTCCAGGGCAAAATGCCTTCATCCCTTCTCTCCTCCCCCTGCCCCCACCCCCTCTTTCTTCCACAGAACTACAATTATAACCACCAGGCATATCCTACTGCCTATGGCAAGCAGTACTCAGCCAAGACCCCTGCTAAGGTAAGACGTGCAACTGCTCTGTTTTCCCACTGGGGCCTCTGCATGGGGGAGAGAGGGAGTGGCTTTTTTTGCCGGGGTCTGTTACCTCGGTTAGTTGAGGCTGAATCCTGTTCACTTGGCAAGTCACGCCTCCCCAGCACTTTGTAAGGGAGACTCAGGTACCCTGAGAACAGTTTGGAAGTGGAGAGCAGAAGAGTTCAACACTCGGGCCGGCCTGTGGCTCACTGGGGAGAGTGTGGTGCTGATGACACCAAGGCCACGGGTTCGGATCCCATATAGGGATGGCCGGTTTGCTCACTGGCTGAGCGTGGTGCTGACAGCACCAAGTCAAGGGTTATGATCCCCTTACCGGTCATCTTTTTTTTAAAAAAAAAAGAAGAAGAAGAAGAGTTCAACATTCTTCTCACCCACTCGCACAGAAAAGGTTAAACGGGGACAGCAGCTGTATCACGTGCAACAGAGAAAACGGGGAGCTAATGTTCTCTCAGAGAAGAATCACATGACACACGGCGAAACATACAAACAGCTTTTCTTTGTAGTGTTCCCGCTCTGGGGGCCTTTTCTGGGAGACTGAAGTAGGGGAGGGAAAAGCAGATTAGCACTTAGGGGAAGTTAGCCTAGGAACTCTTGGTTGGTGGGAAAATAAATGTTTCATTCCACAAAGGAAATAAAAGTGGAAAATACTTGAGAATTTTGTTTTGTTCAGTTGCAAAGAAAACAATCTTATAATATCAGTAAATGAATATTCTAAATACTAATTAGGCTGGCAAAGAAAAACCAGGCTGGGTATTTCCCTCCATCTCTCAGAACAATAAAGCCCCTGCCGTTGGGAAGAGGACCTTCTACTAAGAGATCGGAAACCATATGCTGACTGAAAGGAGGTGGAGACGCAGTTATTACTGGCTGCGGGTGTTCACTTTGTCAATTATTTGTGGCAGAAGGAACGCCTACCCTCTTTTCACTCCCCTTGGTCAGTGTGTGCTCAGGAAGCACATTCAATATCATGTTAGATAAAATGTACCTAGGATGATAGATCTGCTGTGAAAAAAATTCTGTAGACTGAATGTCCACAGTCAGACTGAAGGACTTTGGTGACAATCCTGCTTTGAGCCTGCTCCTGCCACTGGGCCCTTCAGAAGCCCTGAACCCACGGCAGGGTACAGAGAGGGCACTGTAGCCCCACATCACCTCCTCTGATCTTCTCTTTCCAGGGAAGAGTCACGCTTTCTTCCTCGGTGAGTATGGGGGCTGAGAAAATCTGGCTCGAAAGAGAAGGGGCGTGAGGCCAGAGGGTGTGGAGGGAACGGTGTGATGTCCACTCAGACATCCTCCTTGTCCTGCAGGCTTCCCGGGTGCAACCTGGCCTGCTGCAGTGGGCGAAGTTTTGGTAGGTGAGTGTCAGAGTGAGCCGCACAAGGCTGTGTCCCAGGTGCTGTGGCATAGTCACCCCTCAGGTGCAGGGCTGGGATCTTGGCATTTCCCCAGACCTCAGTGCAGAGTGACACTAAGGCAGGTTTATGCTGGGTGGATGCTCTAAGGGTATTAAGGAGGAGGACAGCCCGTTGTGGAGTGTGGGGTGTGGAGAAAGACTCATAAGAAAATGACCTAGGAAACTCAGGAGGCACCCTATGAGTGCCGAGTGAAGGGCCACACAGAGGTGGGACACATGGGCACAGCTCTGAGGACAAGAACAGTATGCTAGTTTAAGGACAGGGGACGGGATGGGAATTGTACAGGAAAACTGTAGAGAGGTGAACCTTCCAGGTGGAAAGGTTCAGAGGCAGGACAGAGGGAGGCTCCAGCGGGGAAGAGGTAATAGATTAACTTGGCAGAGCCACAAAATTTGTTTTAGGCAGGAGCAAAAGTGACGGCAACTGCTGTTGAAGCAGGTGGGACAGTGAAGGAACTGTGGGAGCTCAGAAGCTGGGAGAAAAGATACTGGTTTCACCATACTTAGGAGTGACCGCATTCTATCATTTGATCTTCTCCTTTCTTCTAGAAAATTACTTCCAATCACTACTGAGGCCCTGAAAAACACCTCGTTGTTAAGGAGCCTGACTGCGCTCCCACCCCCAGCTCCCCCACCCTGTGCCAGCCGTGGTCTGGATGCTGACACCTCTGTTTTCTAGGTTGGGGACCTGGTTGTTTGTTCCTTGTTTCTTCCCGCTCCATTGTCGTGTCCCTGTGACCAACAGCCTCACTGGATAAACTTCACCTTACTCCATTTTGTGACCTGACGTCACTGTGACAGTTCTTCAGGAGGAGCTTTCTACTTTTGAGTTTCTCTGTGAAAATAAAACATGAATATTGTTCCACTAAGACTTTATCAAATTTTATTCTTTTATACTATGTCAATGGCTTGGATCAGGGAGGATGGAAGAGTGATTTAGTGGCAGATAATTGCCTTCCTCCTGACAGTGGTATAAAACACGGTAGGCTAACAGCGATAAGGCCTGGTTTTATTCCGGCCAAGAAGCAGCTAGCTGATTTCACTGTGCCTCACTTTCCCCATTTATAAAAAAAAAAAAATCTTTGCCCAACCTATATCTGAATACCATGCTTATCGCATTTGAAGCAGTCATAGGTGTTTTAGTAGCTGGAAAAAGCAATGATGTCACTATTCAAATCAGGATATAGGAGTTAAGAGATTGTTCAAAGCAAGGACGCAGTCCCAGAGGGTCAGGGAGAGGGCAGGAAATAGGAGCGAGGGGCTGATACAGAATATGCCTTGGCTACTTAAATAAACTGAAGTGTGGATGAGGCGTGTGCTTGGGTTGATGTGTTTAGGAAGTTGGGGGGACTGGGTCAAACCTAGAGTCTTATCATATGTAGCTGCTGTATGTTTCCAGGATGCAGAAGGAGGGAGGGAGGCAGAAAACTTCTACTCCATTAATGTACCAATGACACAGGCAGAGGCTCCTGGTGCAGGCTGAGCCCAGACGTATCGCAAGCTGAGGAGCCCTTGGGACAGGGCCAGAGTCTGCAGTTGGATCTCTATGTCCCATCCAACTGGTACAGTGTACCGAAATTAAGGAACCCCCACCACTTTGTCTTCCTGACATGTCTGCAGGGGACCAGGAAGCAAAAGGAGAACATGAAACACCCTAAGTGAGTCCCTCCTAGACTGCACGTCCCCCTCCCGTCTGCCTTGGTCTTGCTCCACCCCTGGCACAGGGCCTGGCACAGGGCTTCAAATAGTTGATGAATAAATGAAAGAAACCTGGCTCAGAACTGACTTGGGGAAACCAACTGGATCAAACCCACCTGACAGGCAGAAAGATCAAGACTGCTCTTTCGCTCTGCCTCCCCTTCTCACTTTGGTCCTTAAATTGTGGCTACTTGTTTTTATTCATCTTCTAAGGTTCGATTCTGTAGGAAGAGCCTTGCAGTACCTCCTTGCAGACACAGGGAGGAGAATGTGGGGCTATCCCAGAGAGGACTCTCACTCACTGCTGACTCACAGTGAGCTTCCTGGAGCGTGGGTGAGGGATTGGAAATAGCTGGGAACTCAGGTCTCCTCAAGCCAGTCCCTAAGGGATTGAGAGAGAGGTGGAGATGGTCATCATGGTTCTGGACTCTTGAGAGGTTCCTGGTCCAAGGGGCTGGAAGCAGCCGTTTAAAGTTTAAAGTAACATCTAAAGCAGGCTAAGGTCCTCTGGTGTAAGGGACCCTTCCCCTAAAGGGCAGGCTGCCTCTTTCTCCTGCTGGGACCTCTACAGTAACCTCCTGAAGCTCCAACTTTCATTTTGTTTCCTTATAATATACTTTCCCATGATGGCTGGGGAGAATTCCCTGCTCAGAACACTCCACAAGCTTTTCATTAGCCCTAGAATAAAATCCCAGTTCCTCACCATGGCTCTGTGTGATCTGGCTCTGGCCTCCCTCTTCAAAGTCACCCCAGACTTCGTGGAAAAGGCCTTCAAGGGACGCTGACTATTGTTACCTGCCCCTAGATCCCAAGATCTTCAGAAGGTCAGTACTGCAACTGCTTTCAGGTCTAAATTCAAATGTCCTTCCCTAGGCCATCTTAACCAAGGATACCTACCCAATCAACGTCATACCACTCTATTTTCTTCACAGCACCTGTCATTCTCTGAAGCTATCTTGTTTGCTTATTTATTTTTTGTTAGATTATGATACCTCTCCTCCACTGGAACATATGCTCCATAAGGCAGGTACTTTGTCCATCTTGAATTCCCAACACCAAGAGCCAAAGTGGCCACTCAACAAGTACTTATGAATTAGTGAATGGAAGGAGGGATTGAAATGAAGTGGGACCAATCAAGGGAGTCTTCCTGGGAGAAATTTAAGCAAAGGGCAAACAGGGTGGGTGGTGAAGGAAGAAACCAGACTTGCTGGTCAATGCAGCTACTTTCTTAGATGTGACAATAACACTGGCAGAGGGAGGGAAGGATGGGATGGGGATGCCCCAAGTTCTGCCCCCTAATACCCTGCACCCCAGCCCCTTTTCTCTCCATGGATTTCAGGCTTTTCACTTAGTTGTTCACCAAGGCCCTGGGGACCCCGTGTCCATCCCTTCACAAATACAGGAGACTGGTTCCCAACCCCTAGGTGTGTCTCTAATGTAGCAATCAGGGCTGGGCCTCGCCTCCTACCCACACTCAAGTTCTGGCAGATTTGGGGAGGTGTGGGGGCAGGCCTGTGGGAAAACAGGGGTTTACTGGTATTCTCAGAGAGAGAACTAGGAAATAAACCAAATCTGGAGATGGGATGTCGTAGAGCCAGTCTCTCTGACTCTGCCTGACTCCATTAACCCTGTGTGATTCACCCAAAGCAAAGCTGAATCCCAGATGGATTTTCGTGCCACACATTACCTGTACTGCAGGGCCCGGCTCCCAGTGAGAATCCCTCCACCCCTCTGTTCCCCCACCTGCTCGACCACTGGACATTGGACACTCAGGGAACACAAACTCATCGAGGCAGTATAGATGGGGGCAGGAGGAGGAGCTTGGAGAGAGAGACACTAGATTATAAAGTTAGCGCTTACAGCAAAAATCATTTGAAGATGAAATCACCCCTGAAAAATCTATCAGGAAGGTGCCAAATGGAAACACATCATAAGTCCAACACAGCCAGTTTTTTCTCCAGCATAGAAAGACAATTTTTTTGGTTGAGTACACAAAATAGTTGGC